GAACCGACTCCACGGCACCTAACAACAACACCACAATATATATCACATATAGGGGAGCACAGTGACTGTATGATAAGCACTCAACTGTGAACCACAAAGTTGGAAGTTGGAGACTACCAGCTGCTCCATTGGAGACAGATGAGAATTTCTGCTCCTGCAAAGATTTATAACTACACCCTCTGAAACTCTGCACAGGGTCCCTATGAGTTGGAACCAACTTGATGGCACTTTACAACAATAGTAACAATGGCAACAGCATCGTATATATTTATATCTTTTACTCCCACATATCCTTTACTACATTTGGTCATTTTCTTTAGCAATTTGCCTGTCAGAAATCTTTGTCTAATGAGTAACTGATACATGTTATTGGAGAGACAGATGGAAAATAGTATATTATGACGCCAGTATATTCTGCTTGATAGGGGTATGTGTTTTGCCTTGATCTTCTAAAACTTTGTATTTTTATTACTCACCCTTACAAAAACAGCAGCAACAAAACAGGAATAAGCAAATGGTAATTTGTCTCTTTAATGATTTTATTGTTAATTTATTTATGGCTGATAAAATCAGTTCATAAAGCAAAGTACAGCATAGTGATTGAAGTGAATATTTTGTCATAAATTTGCCTTCCTCTGTGTTTTGGGATGTGTTTGGAAGTTTCATTTTGCAACTGATTTCCTTTCTCTTGCATAATTGGGAGTTCTGTAACTGGAATAAATTGGCATTATACTAAAAAGTTTTCCCAGACGGTTCCTGAAACGCCCCAAGTTCCAGTAGCTGACAAGGAATGAGGCTCACAAAAGGAGCTGAGTTTTCTCAGTCCTCTGAAAATCAATGGCATCCAATTCCATTACTCTTTACGGAGGTCCTGCTATGTATAAGGCACGCTGCACGGTGTTCAAGCAATGTGTGTGAAACAGTAAATACTGCAGTAAAGGAAAAAAAAAAAAAAAGCCTAGCCTGACATACTACACACCTGACAACAAGTGTGCAGGATAGGATATGGAAAGCACTCCACTTTCCCGCCTACCAAATTCAAATCAGAACCTTAAACAGCTGGTGATGCTGACTCAGCCAATCAACTGGTCTTGTTTCATCCCTTCATACTTCTTTAGTTCCCTTCACGGTTTCATAGAAAGACTGAAGTCTTGCCCACTTACTGAAAGCCCTGTGTTGAGCTTCTGGATTTTTGTATTCTAATTCTTATGAATAAAAATGGCTGTAAATGTCCACGGACAGGAGAAAGATGAGGCTTTCTGAAAGCTCCCCCACAGATTTACAGCTTTTGAAATCCTATTGAGGTCGGGTCACTGTGAGTCGGAACTGACTTGATGACATACAGCAGCAACAGCCACAGTGTACTGGGGTTGGGGTGGGGAGGTGAGCGGTACATGATTTTTTTTTTTTTTTTATGTCAGTCTGTTTGTGTTCAATAAGCCCTATGCTCAAATCCAGTGCCTTAGAAGAAACGCACATTGTAAGGTTGTGTTGCGGAATGAAGAAAATTTCTCATAGGCAGTACTTGTATAAATTACAGATACCAGAGCATCGTACTTTTCAGTCTCAGAATATCATTGAAATTTTCATAGTTACACAAATAGTGATATGCGATATGTTGGACAAACCAATGTGAAGTTAGTAAATGAAAACTGCAAGTTATTATGTATTTTGGTTTCTGACACTAGTTCTTCTCTTTGTCCTTATAGGTACCTATCACACCATTCTTTGGCGAAGGCTGCTCAGAAGTACACACCTTTTCCAATCGAACATTTGACAAATTATCATCTCTGGACTTTAGGTGATAGATACCCTGCCAGAAGCAAGAGCTCCTAAGCCAACTGGAACTGTACCCTACACTCTTGTCAAGAGTTGCTTTTGTTTTTTTTCTTACATAGAACGAAGAAAGAAAACGAAAGATGAAGTTGGGCAAAGTGGAGTTCTGCCATTTTTTGCAGCTTGTAGCTCTTTTCCTGTATTTTTCTGGGATGAGCCAAGCAGAACTCTCAAGGTCCAGCTCAAAACCCTATTTCCAATCAGGGAGGTCCCGGACCAAGCGCAGCTGGGTATGGAATCAGTTCTTTGTGCTGGAGGAGTACATGGGTTCCGACCCCCTCTATGTAGGAAAGGTAGGGCATTTGGCCTTTCCAAGTTGTCGATGATGATTGTCAATGTCGCTGGTTGAATGAAGAAATGCTCACTTTTTTGGGGGGTGGCAAGTGCAAAAGTTTCCTTCGTGTGCATCGTTTGTCATGTCTGCCCATCTGGGGTGGTAATCTGGGTATTCACCAACACAGCAAAGTCACTGCTTAATGAGTGATGCTTATTCCTTGAAACAGTGAGGAATCTACAGACAAATTGTGATTTGGTAACACTTCAAGGATATTCACTAAGGAATGAAGAGGAGTGGGTTGCGTAGCCAGTTGAGTTTTTAGCTCCTTCTTTATTATGGGCACCGCATAAACGATGCTCATACTAAGTGTATGCTCACAGGTCTTTTACAGATACTTGAACTTGCAAAACTGCGAAGTGAACTCTTTGAGCCACTGGCTGCACATTGTAAGACAGTCAAACACATTTTCTTAGTGCTTTTGTTTTCATAGATCTTTGTATCTGATCTGCTCTTTTAACATTTTTTTCCCTCAACTAAATATGAGGGTGAACACAAGGTAATTAGAAGATACAAGAAGACTAATGGTGGGTAGTTTAGGGTGTAATCCTGAGTTCATCTGTTGGAGTGTCCAACAGTGGTCATATTCAGATTTTGTTTTATTTGCAATTTCCCTCTGTCTGAATATTGGGTGTGTCTGCTCTGAGGGGGGCGGGCGTATCAAGAGAGCATGGTCTTCCCCACCATCATCATATCCCCTTCTCAGTCCCAGTCTACTGTAGGTTCAGTTCATTTCATATTTGTCAAGATCTCCTTAATTTCACATTTTGGTGCTGGATGCAGGCAAAGCATATCCCAAGAAATCCATACCTCCCCATTTCTGCTGTTTACTTTGTTAGCTTTATGCTTCTATTCTGGATAGACCCAGAAAACTGGTAAATATATCTATGAATGAAGGTTTCAACTTTGAATGATTGAGGAAACCTTTCTGCTGTCTATTTTATGAATCTCCCCCCCCCACACCTCATTTGAACACATTTTAATTCAGCATGAAAACAGGTATTTTTCTGTTGATGGGCATCTATATAAATCAAGGTAAACTTTGACATATTTATTATTATTTCCCCTTAGTGCCTTTTAGTGCTTCTCTTAATTGACAAATGCTGATTGATATTATAGTGTAATATGAGGGAGCTGAAATAGGTTGAAGATTTTTAGGGATATGGACTGGGAATTTTTAGTACCAGTTATACCGCTTTCCTGCCCTAAAAAAAGAATGTGTAAGAAAAAAAGTCTATTGTGAGTATTCTCATTTCATTAGTCATTCTGTTTTCATCACTAACACTATATTTCTCTCACTCACTTCTCTTGGTTGTTGTTTTGTTATTTTGTTAAAAAAAAAAAAGTGTTGAGAGCAGTAATGTAACCTTTAGACTATGAATTCAGCTCTTCCCTTAATTCACCTGTGAAGACATTGAACAAATGCATCCGTCTTTTCCAACCAAGAAACAAGCTGTCTGTCATAATTAGGAGAAATGATACTCTTGTGAGAATGTAAAGTTTTCTAAAGTCAACTAAAATATTCTGTTAATTTTGTGTAAAATGGCGTTGCTTAGACAAGGCTGACCTTTCAAAACTCAATGCTGGGATTTGTTTTCTTTCAACCTTTTTCATTTATAAGCACATACTAATTCAGAACAATTATATACAACTGATTTCTACACTTCGATTTAACATCGTAAGAATGCATGTCCCTAGGTTCCTTACATTCTAAATGCATGCAAAGTTACTGGCTGATGCTATTTTTCCAAGAGAAACGGTGTTGTTTCCTGATTAGATAGCATGGGATAGTCTGTGCTTCCCTTTCAGTTGATTAGAGGAGATCTCTTGGAAAATTTTATGTGACAAGCGATTAAGTTTGGATATATCTTTTGCTTGTTGTATATTGAAAGTTCAATACAACTGTTGACATTAAAATACTTAGGGTGAAATTGGGTTAAAAAAGGAACACTTGACTCAAATCAGAAAGGGGGAGTAAAATAATTCAAAGTGAAGAGAGAATTTGTAGACAAAAGTAGACGAATGAAAAGCCTTAGGAAAGCAATCTGTGTTTGCCTGGAACAAGGTAGCAAAGAGCTTTACTATTAGGTTGTATATGTTGGATGATGTAATTATTCTTTTTACGATGCTGGTCTGAATAAGCCAGGCTATACAAGTAACTTTGATCTCAGTACATTTTGAGTCATTGGAGTATGTAGGATAGACATGTTTTCCTTTCTTTCTTTAGTGGAGGGAGGTGATGGTTATGACCAAAAGTGTTTAGAGGAAAGAGTGAATGTGAACTGACCATTGTAACCTAACATGTGGAAGAATGGATAGGCGGGTGATCGGAGGAAGACAAGAAAGAACCGAAGCATTACTTTTTATTGTCATTGTTGTTAAGTGCCATCGAGTCGGTTCCGACCCATAGCGACCCTGTATAGGGTTTCTGAGGAGTGGCTTGCTGTTCAATCGACTTTGCAGTCTAGCTCATTAGCCCACAGCTGTATATTTAACTGCTGCCAGAAACCCTATGAAGGGTTGCTATGAGTCAGAACCAACTCGTTGGCACTTAACAACAATTAGAGTACCACATTCTTAATCTGCCTGACAAAGTTTGCTATTTAGGAAATCTGCAAACCACAGTGATTCAGTATCCTGTATAGCATAATTTGATCACATGATTGTTACGCGTAGCCTGTGTCAGGTTAACTTCAGTTTTATTGCTGGCTTTACTATTTCCTCCTAGTTTTGTAACTTCAGGCAAGTTGCCAAATATAATTACATTTCATTTTTCTCATCTGTAAAGTGGGAATAAT